TATATATATCCAGGCCAAACAGTAGTAGAATTATCTTTTAGATATAGTAATTGGGATCCAACTTTGTTTTGACCGCACATTCTTTTTATCCTTAGAGGTCAAAACCATTTCCACCCACTTTATATATTGCCTTTCAATTGTTTCTTTTCCAAGTTGTTATTATTCGGGCGAAGCTAGTTTATCAGTTATAAATTCAATCGAACTCAATGATTTTAAATCAAATTTCATTTTTATTTTTAAAATTCAAATCATGATTTTGTTCCTCTAGTTATCATTTATCATTTCATTAGGTAGGAGTTTTGGGCTTCTAGTTAGAAATTGTTGAGATCTACTCTACAAAAAAGATAATTTTTTAACATATGTTATGGATATAGGCTAGCTTTAAATATAGCATAAAGTCATATCGATCTATCTCTCATGACTTGCAGACGGTAATTAATCAATTTTAATTAGTTCATGTCTCATTTGTGGCGCTTAACTTAAGGATATTTTTATTTGAAATTCACTTATTAGATTTAAAAAGACACATTTTCACACAAATACTACAATTGAAGATAATTTTTAAATATATATATAGCATCACCATAATATCTCACTTTTGTGCAAGCTAAATAACCCTATAACAAGCTCCTAGCAAAATTGAAATTTTGAGAACTTATTTATTAAGAACATATACTCTTCATAGAGTAGATATTAAACAAGAACACCATGTAGTCAAATAGAAACAACTAGTCCTAATCATGAACAAGGTAGGGTTTCCATAAAATAATAAACTATGTACACTTGCATATAGTGAAGTGGCTTCCATATTATCCCCCATCCCCTATAGGCTATAGCTACAAAGCAACTACTACTACTATATAAGTATCTTGTAGCTAGTAGTCCACATGAAGAAGAGCAATGCATCTAGTCATGAAAACACAACAATAACTTCACAAATCAACTAATGCATCACATCGCTGGAGTCCAAATTAAATAATATTCCATGTCTCAAATTATGTGACATGTTTCGTTTTTCGAAAGTCAAACAATACAGTTTAGGTTTGATCGAGAATTTACATATAAATCTTCAATTTTTTTTGAAATAAAATTTATATATTTATAAACTACATAAAAAGTACTAGAAGTCACAATAATTTATCACAATCCAAAATATTTGAAAGATATATGTGAAAAAATTATGATAAAAAATAGATCTGTTTGAATCTTGAAATTTGAAATATGTCAGGTAAATTGAGATTGAGGGAGTACATGTATTCTAGCTAGCCCTACACAATTGACCATATAATTGTACTAATTATTACTCCATCCCCATTCTCCACAAGTCTTCAAACTTCTTTTCTTCTTTCTTAGAGTCAATTAATGTCATGCGACTTAGCTCAGTCCATTGCATGTGTACATGACTGGTGACAAAGTTACATAACAAAAACTATATGTATCCTCATAAGAACTTGGCATGTACTGTCTCATTTGGTAGCTTTAGTCTTTGCTTCTTCTCCCAATTGCATCAAGTGTTTGTACCTGCAAAGTTGATAAATATACTCCCATAGGCCATAAGTTCATGAACTGTATGGAGTAGTACTATTCTTGCTCAAGAACTCACATAATCAGTCAAAGTATACCATCCATCCGGTCATAATACGTGATGTTTTTACTTTTTTTATTTTAATTCAAAATGAATGGTATTTCACATCATCAAGAAAATACTATTTATATCGTTCTTTTTCAAATTTATCCATAGAAAAAATCCTTTTGGCCAGAAAATTATGATGTTCGAACAAATTTACACACTTTGATTAATTTTATAGGAAATCTTTTTACCTTTCATCAACATCAAGTTACTTTGTCCATCAAAGTTAAAACAGATAAGAAGACTGAAATTTGAACCTAACTCCTCCGGTCCTCACTCATTTCATTAAGCACTATAGTTCACATCCTTTGGTGCATTACCCTTATTTAAATGGGTGGATTTTTATGTAACCAAGAAGTTATATGTACTACTCCCTCATTACATATTTTCTTAGCCCTTGTTGACCCGATACATCCCTTTAGAAAATTTTAATTAGATGTGTATCTTATTAAACTAATTTTATTGACAATGCTTGAATATTAAACTAACTTTATTAGCGATAATTTTTTTTCTTTCAAAAATGAAGAGTTTTTCTTTGGTTTCCCAATCAGTGCCCAGAGCTCATATTGAAGCCTAGACCAAATCCGATCTCATGCACTGTAGGGTCTATTCGGGGGTGATGCTTCCAACAATTTTTTTTCATATCCAAAATTTAAACTCAAAACCTCTAATTAAGGGTGAAACAATTTTGCCACAAAGAGTTTTATCGAAAGGGTGATCAACTAAATTAAAAGTCAAAATGCAATAATTATGTTTATGAAATAAATGGTACTACTTACCACTTGCAGTCTATATAGTAGGGGAATTAATTGTCTACCAGTATTTTGCTTCAAATCCAGAAATGCTGTTAGCAACCACTGAGTTTTTGGGTTTGCCTACGTCTTCAAGGTCCACTTCACTACTCCTTCCTATTTTGGCTTTTAGTATCATATAAAAAGTAACCACTATTTTAGACCAAATATGCCATATTTAGAAACTTTATTTCTTCACTCTTTTTTATTTTGGCTTTTGTAGAATAAAATAAACTAAATGCAAAAATAATAACTAAGTAATTAATGACAATTGTCGTTTATTAAAAAAAAGAATATACCATAATGTTCTTCTAGGTAATCCTCACGTAGGCGTTTTGACGATGGACTACTGTTGTTCTTCTTCTCTACGCTATGCTATTTTCATTTCACGGTTAATATTTACAAAATTCGAACGATAATAAATTAGAATTAAAAAAGATATTGTGTTTAACATTATAAATACCTTATAAGATGATGAACCAATTGAATTATTCGCTCCATCTTTAAAATCATCTTAAAAGTTTTAAAAATTAATGATGGTTCGAGATCATATAAAAAAATACAAATAATTTCATATTAAAATGTTGTCTGATATTATGATTATGTACCTGTGTCTTCCACTAGTGTATTTAATCTCACCCATTCATCAACAATATCTTTCCATCTCCTATAAAATTACCCAAAAAATGGTTCTTTATTTAAATTAAATTAAATATGTTAACATAGCAACTAATTATACAGAAGAAAATAAAATTAAAAGTGTTAAGAAGAAGGAAAGAAACCTGATGAGTAGTTTAACAAGTCTTCTTACTTCATTTGATGAATGCTTTCGCAATTTATTTACATGCCTTCCAATATCTGTTGTCTTCAAAACCAAAAAAATAAAAATAAAATTTAAAAAAATCATAACAACAAATTAATTTAAAAAATGATAGTAAAATCATGATAGTTAATTAAATTACCTCAAGAACCTTGAAATTAATGTCCATTTCAGCAAGACTTCGAAGCTGATCAACCAAGCAATTCTCAGACTGAAAATACCAAAAGGACTTTAATCTTAGCAAAAAGTAAATGAAGCTCGTCAAATTAGGTATTATGCCTAACTCACGCCCCAAAAACTTACCATCAGGACGGGCCAAGAACCTGGGCTCCTTGACAATTTTTTTAATTAATTTTTGAGGGTGTGAGTTAGTCCCGAAACTTTAATTTGACAAAACCCAAAGACTAAAAAAGAAACCTGATTTGGGATTTCAAAATGGTTCTTGATTCTGAGGATTTTGCTGATCTCTACATCTTCTTCATTACTTTTTTCCTCTATTTTAAACTTATGATCATCATCAATATTTCTCTCAATTTTTTTTGGGATTTCATAATTTCTATCAGAATTAGAATTGTTAGAAAGCAGAGGAGCGTAGAGTTTCTCAACAATGGCGTCTCTTCGACTGCGAAGCTCATTTCCATGATCAAGAATGGCTACAGAAATGGCTGTGTCAATTAAACTCCATAAGTCCACACTTGAATTCTTCAAGATTGAACGTAATTCATCCAATTCCATGTTGTTGTTTTTTTAGTTATGATAAGAAAGAAGATGTGTTTACTACTAAGAAACAGAGCAGAAGGGAAAGAGAGAAAACAGAGTTTGGGACAGAGTGAAATGGGGACATATTAATGTGAATAAGTTTAAAAGGCTTTTTGTAGCTTTGGAACACATTCTATGTTTTTGTTTTGTCATTAATCACTACTACAATGTTTTCTTTGCTTAGTTTCTACTATACTAAGAGGTCTACACTATAAATAATAAATAATTATTGTATTCTTGTATCAAATCAATAAATGTACGATATGGGTTTTTTTTATATATAATTTTTAAAACTTTAACTATAGTTAATTAACTTGCATTTTCACCAACACTTAATTATGATAAGTTTAACATAATTTGATGTAAATATTCTAGGAGAATAAGTAATTCTCTACAAATATCAGGTAATATTTGTTATAATATGCGATATGCTTTATTTTTAAGATTATAAACCTCTCATTTTTATCAACAGTTACTTATTAAATGTTTGTATAACTTCAATTTATATTTATAATATAGACATAATACATAAATATGACCCTTAACTTGGTGTCAGCGGACAACTATGACCTTTAACTTTGGATGTGCACAAGTAGACACTTAAACTTGTATAAAATTAAACAAGTAGACACACTTGTCCTACATGACATAATACACATAGAACGCCACGTAGGACACAAAATTGTCATGTAGGGTGCCATGTAGGATGAATGTGTCTATTTGTTCAATTTTATACAAATTTAGGTGTCTACTTGTGCACATCCAAAGTTTAAAGGTCATAGTTGTCAGCTGACACCAAGTTAAGGGTCATACTTATGTATTATGCCTTATATATATACACACTATTTTTTTTAAAAAAAAATAGCTACAGACAAATTATGTAGCTAAATCGAAAAATTCATTGTTGATCTTATATAGAGATGGATTAATGATGTATTATTGAAAACTTATGTTAGCTAAGAAATTTAATAATGAATTAATGACAAAGTTCATTGCTAATTTTAGTTTTTTTAATGCACCAACAACTTTATTCTTCTGAATTGTCGGTATGAGTTTACCATCACATTCCATTTGTTTCAGCAATATTTCCTAATGTCTTCTTGCCATGAACTTTTTAGTTTCGAAGCAACTTGTCTACTGTGATAACTCTTCTCTTTTATAATAAGATCACATGGATGGTTAGTCCTACCTTCAATAACTAACGAGTTTAAATCCACCCAACAAGGGTACAATTTATTATCGATATCTCCCTTATAGACATTACTCTATGAGTTTGTTGAGGTGTTTAAAGGATTGTTCATAATGTAAAATTTGCAATACAACATATGGAAAAATTATGTATTGAATCGTCAAATGAGTCACGTTAAGAAAAATTCAAAATTAGGTATTGGGCCCTTTCATGTGCCCTCAAAATGTACTATGTGGCGAGTTTAGGTATCAAATAAATTTAGAGTTCGGCTTCGATGTAAGGTGTTTTTATGCGAAGAGGAGAATTGGATTGGATTGTTGGGTATCGAAATGGGTCAATTGGTGATTTTATGGGCTCAGCCAACATTGGGCACAATCTTGGCTGAAAATTAGCTCAACTTTTGGATATAAATTGGGATACTTACATAATTACCCGCAAGAATCAAATTAATTAGAGCAACTTTCACATATAGCAAACACAAAATTTATATTTGTATGCTATAACAAAGTTTGTATAATTGCGCTCCATAGCAAACATATATATGTATAATTCGCTATACATATACAAAAAAAATAGTTGTATAATCTGCTTTGGTATACATATACAAAAAGATCAATTGTATAAAGTGAGAGAGGCGAGTGAGCGAGCGAGATCTGGGAGAGTGGCGAGCGAGATCTGGGAGAGGGGAGAGAGGGAAACGAAAATATATGTATATATACAATTTTCTCTCGCTTTATACAAACACAAACACACTTTATACACTTGCGTTTGTATAAAAAACGAGAGAGGTGAGGGAGAGAACGAGAGTGGCGAGCGAGATTCACCAGGAGAGAGGTGAAATAACAACAATTTGCTATGAGGTACAATTAAATCAAACTATATTTATAGCATTTAATTTGAACTAATAGTTTGTTATTATATACAATTTTCCCAATTAATTATCCTTGACCATTCTTTATTTTTATGTCCATTAAACAGAAATTTTACACAAATCTCATAGTATTAAGAACTAATTATTTCATATTCCGATTCTTAACCAAATTACAAAATTTTCTTAAATTTGGTGGAATCTAGATACATCTCAAAACGTTCCTGATATATCGCATTCCGATTTCGGATACATCGATCAACGTCCCGATACATTGCGTCTCGATTTTGAATAAATCACTCAACATCTCGACACATCGTGTAAAGTGATGCATCCGAGAGTAGGGAGACAATAGGGATTTTTGTAATTTTTTCAAATACTAGAAAATTTTAGAGAATATGATAAAATAAGTTGTGTATTTAGGTAATTTTTCCTCACCCTTTCTCTACCATTGTATGTACGTTTTTATGGATTCACCTTCTTTTTGTTTTTGACATTGACAATATAAAAAAGAAAAAATTACGCGGTTAAACAAACTTATACTACTTAATTACTCATCATAATTATAGTTTGTTATAATTACCACTTGCGACTAATATTAACCATTAATTATGAGGGCTGACTTCGAGTTTGTATAATTAGCCACGTTTGTAAAATTCGTCACATTTGTATAATTCGCAGCTAACAATTCTTCGTTTGATTTGTATTTGTATACGTATGGTTTGTATTTGTATATGACGATGATTTTCCTTTGGTTTTTCAGTTTTTGCCATCATATACATTCAATCTTTTTGTGTATAACTTTTTTAAAGTTTGTATAAAACGTGTAGTTTTTCGAATTTTGTATAATATAATTTGTATAATATATTTTGTATAATTGTTTAAAGTTCATATGTTTATGTTTGTATCAATTCATTTTTTTAATTTTATCATATTTGTATAATTCTAGACTTTATATTACACAATTATACAAAAACACGCGAATTATACAAACGTACCTGCGAATTATACAAATTATTACTATCTCTCGCTCACTTCTCTCCTCCCTCTCCCAATCTTTCTTGCCAGATTATACAAATATATATGTATAATATACAATTATCTAACTGATATACATATACAATTCACCTCTCTCTCGCCTTTGTCCTCCCTTTCCCAATCTCGCTCGCCACTCTGCTCCCTATAATATGTAGCTACGAATCGTAATTAACAAATTGTAGCTATGAAGTATAATTAGGCTATTTTTGAGTGACTATATGCAAAAGTTCCTCTATTAAAATATCTATATATTTTAAGTCTTAAAAGATGGTTGCACGTAATTTTAAAGGGAGAAACATATAAAACATACTCATTCCGTTTCAAAATATATGATTGTCCCATTTCCCTCTTTCAAATCAAACGATCTTTTTGTCTTTTTTCCTTTCAATGTAAAGATAATTACAACTTACAATATATGATATTTAATTTACGTGTGGCTACAAACATATGCAATTTACATTTTCTTTTAAAAAGATAATATGTAATAGGAAAATTACCTTATTAGATATATATTCGTATCATATATATTCATTCTTCGTATACTTTTAAATTTTTATGTATCTTACCACTAATTAAGAGTTTTCTACCATATATTGAGAAAGATACGTCTACATACATGTCATTTTTCTACTAAATACATTAAAATAGGGAAAGATGTGAGCGAGATTGAGAGGGAGGTGAGCGAGATGGGGAGGGAGATAGTTATTTATCCCAGTTTGGTAGATACATGTGAATCATACTAGATACACACTAGATATATGTATTTGTATGTATCTGGTGTGATTCGCATGTATCTGAATACTAGATTGACGAGAGCGGCGAATGAGATGAGAGGAAGGCAAGCGAGATTTGTCTATCTATTCCACATATACAAGGAATCTACTTAGATACAATGTATCTAGAACAAATTACATCTAATTTTGATCTATATATCCTGAGATACATGTATATGGATGCACAATCTGATAAGATTCATAATATTATAAACTAGAATATATCTAAATAATTAGCTCATAAACTAGTAAAATTTATGTAAGTTATAATGCGACCCTTTTAGCTTTTCACTCACTTTTGAACTGTAGTGTCGATGTAGAAAAAAACCCAACAAAAATCTTCAATAATTAGAAAATATTAATTATTAATTTGACCCTTTTTTCTTGACCTTGCTACTTCAGATTTTTCTCTAGTTGTCATTTGTCAATTAACTTTTTTCTTATATGTAGAAAAATTGGAAAAATTACATAAATGGGCCATAAAACTTAAAATAATTACATGTTTATATTCCAATCCAAAGTAATTTAATAAATATCCATTCTCTAAAAAGAATTTTACAACCCATACCCCCCATTTTTAAGACTGATAATTTTGCTTAACTGATACTAAATCAGTATATATATACTGTATTGGTATCATTAAGGTTTCTTGTTCAGAAATTACTCATTAGTCAATGATACTATAAGAGTATATATATATTGTCGTGGTATCATTAAGGTATCTTGTTCAGAAATTACTCATTAGTTAATGATACTATAAAAGTATATATATACTGATTTAGTATCAGTTAAG